GCCCTGAGGGCACGGGCTCCGTCTCGCCTGACCTCAAAGACGCGGGATCCGGGTCACCCGACCCCAAGGGCGCGGGCTCCGTGTCTAGCCTGACCCCTCGGGCGAGAGCCCCGTCACGTCCGACCCCGAGGACGCGGACTCCATCTCGCCCGATCCTGAGAGCGTGGGCTCCGCCTCGCCCGACCCCGAGGGCGCGGGCTTCGCCTCGCCCGACCTGTCGCTCGACCCCGAGGGTGCGGGCTTTGCCTCGCCCGACGGAGGTCCGTACCGCGCCCAACCACTACGGGTCTAAAAGTACGAGTCCAGGGTCAAACTTCTGACGCCAGAAGGAGAGCAGGCGCGTCTAGACGTGACCCACGGCCACTACGGACCACGTCTGAGGACGCACGTCGCCAACAGCAACGAGCATGCCGAATCTGTGCTACCTACTTCCCATACGGCCTCCAGTGGAGGCGTCAGCGAGCCATATCGTCCGCTAGGACGGGATGGAGCGCCACGACTGGCTGACGAGATGGAAGACGTCGCAATCCTGGAAGCATTCCTCTCCTCGTCTCTCTCTGATGTAACCTGCATCTTCCCCTTCATCTATAAAAGAGGAAGCAGGGCGCCCCATGGGGAGGGGGAGGGGCCGGCATTCCCACACATCTGACACGTCTGAGCGGATGAAGGCTTAGGCGCTCGACAGTAGAGAGAGAGCTCAACCAGACTCACTCTTTTCACCAGAGACTTAGGACCTTCTCTCTCGTCTGTTTGTAACCCCTACTATAAACCAAGTGCCGGTAACACGAGCAGCAGCAGACTGGACGTAGGGATGTTCCGCCCGAACCAATATAAATCCTTGTGTCATCGGAGCACACCATCCGAGTTAGACGCGCAAACTAGAAATTTACTAGCTGATAATCCAAAACACCGACAACCATCACTCAAGAAAGGGGTGAGCCTTGAGGCTCTCGTCTTTTTTGCAAGTACTAAACTGTTTGTTAGATGCATTTTAAGGCTTGTTTAAAATGCTGGAATCCCTTATGAATATCCTATATGCTATCTATTTCATTTAATTTATAGCGCACGGAGGTCCTGATGAAATTAGTTTAGTTACCACACTTTGCCATTGCAGCAATCTGTCTAGGGTGTGCGCGCATACGAGTAATTTATAGGGCACGGAGGTCCTGATGAAAGTAGTTGATTAGAGTAATATGTCTAGGGTGTGCGTGCATAAGAGAGCGTGGCAGGGCATAAATAGCATTTCACAAGGGCTGCAAAAGAAAAAAAAAAAGGAGAGGAAAACACTTGAATCGAAGCATTTCGTAAGTTTTGGCCATGTTTGCTTCTCTTATAATCCGTCTTTTTCAGTTTGTTTTTTCAATCGGAATAGTGTTTCGGCTTGTTTTTTCAGCGAAGTGAACGGGGCCTTTGAAAGTCAAGTGGATTAGATGTCAATCTAAGTGAGTCAAGCGGGTGTTAAATATCAAGATCTCTCGTGAAAAAAAAAACTAATTGAGGTAGCAAAAGAATTAGACCCAAAGATACAACCCAAGATGGCAACGGGTACCCGAAACCCGAGTACCCGACGGGTTTTACCCGATAAGAAGGCGGGTATGGAAGACATTTTGCACCCGCGGGTACGTTATTGGACGAATTCTTGTACCCATCGGGTATGCGGGTACGGGTGTGGGTGTATACTACCCATACCCGCATACCCGCGGATAAAAAAAACCCGCATAAATAATATCCAACCTCTGCAATTTTAGCCCATATAAGCATATAGCCCATATTTGGTCCATATAAGCATATGAGTATATATATTCCAGAACTCCCTCAAACCCTAATCCTCATCCTCACTCCACTCCACCAGCCCATATTTCTGTTTTGTTGCTCTATTGTTGATTTGTTTTATCTATTATTATATTTGTGTGAACTTCGGGTATATTGTCGGGTAAGCTACCCATTATGGAATGAATTTTCTACCCGTCATGGTGTGAACTTTTGATCTAGCGGATGCGGTACGTATATTGTATGTACCGTTAATTACCCCATCTCCTCCTTACCTCTAGGAATGAAAACGGTCGAATGAAAATGTTTCCATTCCCGCTCTCCTGTATTTTTTGGCCGGAACGGAACAGGATACGGACGGGAAAACGAATCCGGTATTACGGGATATCGAGCGGAGGTAAGATTTTGATCTAGCGACACGATCGGGAAGCGGTAACACAAAACGAAAACATCGATATATGTAACCACCGAAAACAGTGGAGCTCGATGCAACAATAGCAACCATGCATAATCCATATGCATACAATAGCAAATAATGAGCTATATTTATGCAAAGAAAACTAAAGAACTACCAAAAAAGAAAATGGAAAAGAAAAAATGAACAAAAGGCTTGCTGCTCCTGTGATACATGCCTCCATGCGAATTTTCACGGCCAACTGCCAAGCATGGAATGATGGGCGCATGCATGACTCAGCTCTTTGCCTCCTCTCTCTTCCGCCATGCCTTGCTTCAAAAAACTTTGCTTCAGTCCTCTGCTGCCCCGAGGATCCGCTAGAAAACCGATTTCGATACGGATTCGACGTTTTCCCGGATTTAGCCAAAAAATGCCACCTTTTCAGAGCAGTGAATTCACAAATTTCCGCATATACTACCTCCCGACATGCCTCAAAAATTGCCAGTCCTCTGCTGAACCCCAGAGAAAAGACCGTGGTAGCCAAAGCCACCTTTGGAGCTGTATCCTTCTGAGTTCTGACTTCCTTCTGAGTTTTTTAGTTTTTGTAAAAGATAAAAGAAAATGGAATAGTTTGGGCCTTAGGAATCATCAAAACGATAGTTAGAGCATATCCGAGAGCCTTTCTAAATCTTACTCTCTAAATCATTATTTAGGGAGTCATTTGCATAAAAATCGCTTCCTATATCTTTTCACTCTCTAAAAGTTTTTCTATATCTCATGTACATTCTCGTCTTCTATTTTTAGCTAGTGAAAAATCCGGAATAGAGGATGGCTATATTTGGATGACCATTTAGAGAAGTTGTTGGATGCTAATTTTTTCACCAAAATCTCTATTCCTGGCATTTAAGAACGAAATAGAGAGTCTATTGGAGTTGCTCTTACAGCCTTGCAATCATTATAACTTATCAAACAAATCGACTGTAGTTGAGACTTCTGTTGAGAGATCAACTGGCACAGCACCAGCAGATTACAAGAAAAAAGAATGTATTAACTGCTCGTGCCCTGCTTGGGCAGCATCTGAATTTGATAGTGAACTCTTGTTTGATTGTAAAAATGGTAAAGGCTACCTAAAGTTCCTTACAGACTCAAACATGTTGAAACAGGCAAAGTGACAAAATCTAATACAGCTTTTTTGAACTGAATGAATCCAATACATTGTTATGTGGCCTTTGTTTAAAGAGAACATATGAAAAGCATTGGGACTAAGCAAGGGCTCGTGACCAGGTCGAGAGAAGTCTATTGTATCTATATCTATATATACCTAATAATAATATTAAGAGTCAAAATTTCATCCTATGTTTTTTATCCACCTCTCTAATTACCCGGACAGTGAATAGTTTATTTTCTCCAGGTTTTTTTATTTGACCCGTATTTATGACTCTTGATTCCAATTCATATAGGATCGTGCTCTCCATATCTCATACATAACGGAAACTCATGACTCATGCTTATACAAATGAGAACAAATCACCTCTAACAATAATATCGGACTACTATACGTATTAGGTTCGTTTGCAATACACGGACACATATACTAATATTAACTAATTAACCAAACTTCCGTGGTGAGGAAGATGCCATGGTACCTCATTTTTATTTTTTTCATAATGAGAACCTAAATCAGTCAGAATCGGCAACCAGTTGTCAATAGATCAAAAACCGAGGATGTCGACATGCAGACACCATCAGCATGGAAGTGGGGGATGGTCAAGGCCAATGGTGAGGAGCTACGTGTTTTTCTCTTTCACCAGACACCAGGAGTTATTAACTAATTAAAGCCCCAATTGGCGCATATCCTAAGGCTGCTAGCATATACCACATTTGTCAAACCAACCCTAAAGCTAATTGATCAAATTCTTAACATTGTTTGAAGTCTACTAACTCCATCTAATTTGCCTAGCTTCAAGCGTGCCAACATGTGTCCACTAGGCAAACATTCCATAAATAACATTTCAGTTGTCCACTGGAGCTCAACTAGTCCTACACCATACATGAATGAAGGAATTCCTCGTGAGCCATTATAAAATATCGCAATTCTCTAAGCCACTTAAAAAGTTCAGCGAACTTTAGAGTCACTACTCTTTTTTTTTCTCTCCATGCCACTACCATCAGACTGGGCTCTAACGGTGTCAAACTGTAGGTGTGAAAAGTCAAAAATATCCTTAGACCTAAATATGTCATTAATTTTTTTCGAGCATCTTAGCGACTTCAAATGAAAAAACTCAAAACTAGAAAGTTGTAGATCTCATTGAGATATACAATTTGACACCATTAGAGCTCAATCTAACAACAGTAGCATGGAGGGCAAAAAAACAATTAAAGCAGTAACGCTAAAGTCCGCCGAACTTTTCCAGTGGCTCACGGAGAATTGCGTTTTTTTGAATGGCTCACAAGGAATTCCCTCTACATGAATAAACTGATGAATAAAGCCAAGGAAACAAGGCCCCTCCGGAGAAATTCAACGTCAAGAACACGTGAAGCCAGGAATTTTTAAGACATGAATACCCAACATCACCACACCCGGTACAACAAATACACATCTTGTAGATTTTAAATACAAAGAACATATGTTCCCCAAAGAAAAAATACAAAGAACATAAAGAAACCTACACTAACAAAACCTCACAACACCGGCTTCAGGGATGTATCAGTTTTACACCAATAAACATACAAGCATGAAAACCAATCCATAGCTATGCCTACAAGACTCGCTAACTAATATGAAGAAATATATATCCCAAAAGATGCAAGACGGGATCCCAATCATGTTAACTCTTCACCTCCTCAAAACCTTTTCAACAGCTGACCTCTGTGAATCCGATAGGCCCTGCAAAGGATTTATTAGAGGACAATGTTGATGTGGATTTGTTCGTTTTACCTAGGCCATATTCATATCTGTTGAACGATTGATAATGCAAAGCAACTGGTCAAATGACATTTTACCTGGCAAAGATATTCAAACATTGGTCGATCATTCTCCCACAAGTTGGCAAAGACGTTTGTCAGGAAGTCCGCTAACTTCACCTGCACAGGAGACGGATTATTTGACTGACATCATCTAATTCAAATCGAAGATCTTTTCTGCAGTGAAAACAAACCTCATTAAGAGGGTCAGTTTTTGTCAGATCATCGTCATAACTATCATCATCATCCTGTTGTACAGCTCCAGGTAAATATGGCATAAATATGACAGAACTACCAAAGGAGCAAACCTGGTTGCTAACAAACCTCATCAAAAACTTTTGCCATTGCATTTAAATGTTCAACTGATGGATTAGCGATTGAAGGAACAGATGCTGAGTGTATGATATCATCTGATATACTAGCGTCACCATTCTGCACTTCTTCCCAGTCACTATCCTAAAAGGCAAAAAAAGTTGGAACTTTCGGATCAAACAAGCACTGCAGTTAATAGTTTGAAATGATGAGATGTGTAGAAACCTCTTCGCAGTCATCGTCATCACCAGCACCAATTTGTTCCAGAATTTCAGCTAAAGTATCTGCTAACAATGAGCAGATCTGCATAATACAAATTCAAGAATATTAAGCAGCAATTGCTAAGAAAAGGCTACTTGATGATTGATGTCACCTTAAACATTAGTTAACACTGTTAACAGAATATATTAGACATATAATGGCTATTTGGTTTGTATACTAACAAGGTTGTTATCATGTTACCACATTCTTGCCACACTTGTTTCAAATTAAGCAATTAAATTCACAAGCACACTTTGGCTACCTCAAGATAAGTTGCCACATTTTTCTATTTTGCTGGGTGCTGAACTGCTGGTGCATAAGACCAGGTTGGAAAAAAAAAAAGAATCTTGTCACATGTGTGGAAAAATTGGGCAATGCATGGCTACATACCAAATACAGAGTGCTTCCTACCTAGATTTTAAACTGATAGTTAAGCCTAGTTGCTTGTATCTTACTTTTATGCAGTTACTATTCACTGTCATGTAGTTTTCAGGTTCCTTGGCTTCCAAGTAGGAATCAAGGCATCTGCTTTACATAGCAGAATATGCTAAGAGTAGGTAGAGGTAGCAAAAGCCACTTTGCTCTATATAAGCAGTGGCAGACCATCTTGTATCATTGTATTGCAACTTCATTTCAATCCAAGCGGCCTAGTGGCCAAGCTGCCCTCTGGGCTTTCTACCAAATCTGAGATCCAATTTCTTATGTCTGGGCAACAATTGGTATCAAGAGCCTAGGGTTCTAGTGAGTGAGCCATGTCCACCGAGAGCCAAATCGCCAGAGCGCGCGCCGCCGTCAGAGGAGGAGCAGTGATCAACCCTCGGGGCGGCGCAGCAGGCGCTGGAGCCGGCGACCTCGCGACCCACCTTGCTGCCGCAGAGGCAGCGGCTGCGACGGCGGCCGAGACAGCCCGGCAGGCAGCGGCTGCAGCTCAGGCTGCGGTGGCTGCCGCTGCAGCGCTTCGCGCGGAGATGGAGCAGGAGGACGCGGAGCTAGCAGGAGGAGGATCACGCAGCCCACGCCGCCGCCAGTCGCCGTCACCATAGCGGCGGCGTGGCCGTCGCGGGCGTTCGCCGGTGCGGCAGACCATCTACCGCGACTCCTGGGCAGGAACGCCATGGCCAATGCTCACCAAGAGCAACTACCATGAGTGGAGCTTGCTGATGAAGGTCAAGCTGCAGGCTCGCGGCGGGGAGGCGGTTCACGTCGGCGGCATCCACTACGACGACGATCGCCGGGCCTTGGAGGCTCTGTGCGCCGCCGTCCCCACCGAGCTCGGCGCCTCCATCGCCAACAAGGCCACTGCGAAGCTGGCGTGGGACGCAATCGCCGCGGCGCGCGTTGGAGGAGATGGCGTATGCCGGGCGACGCTGCAGCAGCTCCGAGGAGAGTGGGAAGCCCTCGCCTTTCAGCCCGGGGAACAAGTCGAGGACTTGGCCGTGCAGCTGACCAATCTGATGGAGCAGATGGCACGCAACGGCGACACCGACTTGACAGAGGAGCGCGCGGTGGAGAAGTTCCTCCGCTACATGCCGAAGAGGTACGTGCAGATCGTCAATTCGATCGAGACGCTCCTCGATTTCGAGCAGCTCACCGTCGAGGATGTCACTGGGCAGCTCAAAGCGGTGGAAGACCGTGAGCAGGCGCCAGATCCCGAGCCGGCCACCGTCGGAGGCAAGCTGTTGTACACGGCCGAGCAGTGGCGCGCCTTCGAGAAGGAGGGCGCTGGATCGTCCAAGGATCGTCGGCGGCGTCCCCGTGGGGGCAAGAGGAAAGCCCAAGGGTGATCGCGACGGCGGCGGCGGACAAGCGGACAAGGTAGGCGCCGGCGGCGGCGAACGCAAGGCGAACCACGACGACACCTGCCTCAACTGCAACCGTGCTGGACACTGGGCCAAGGACTGCCCTCATCCCCGGCGCGAGCGCGAGCGTGAGCGTGGCGAACGTCGCAGAAGCAGAGGAAGACGTTGCTCTGTTTCTCGCGCATGGGTTCCTGGAGCTGGATGCGGAAGGGAGCAACTGCAAGGCTCAAGCTTCGACCTTCTGCACTGAGTCCGCCGTCGACCTCGACTTCGAGGAGCCGCGAGCCCGTGTCTTCCTCAACACCGGTTCCGGCGGCGACAAACTCGACGGCTGGTACCTCGACAGCGGTGCGACCCACCACATGACCAGACGTCGCGAGCTGTTCACCAACCTCCACTGCTCTACCAGAGGCATGGTGAAGTTCGGCGACGAGTCGAAGGTGGAGATCCATGTCGGCTCCATCATCTTCGAGACGAAGACCGGCGAGCACCAGGTGCTTCACGGCGTCCACTACATCCCGGCGCTCCGCAACTCCATCATGAGCCTCGACCAATTGGATGAAGGCGGCTCAAAGGTGGAGATTGATCGAAGTGTGCTGAGGATTTGGGACCAGCGCGGCCGGCTTCTCGTCAAAGTCCAGCGCGGCGCCAATCGCCTCTACGTCCTCCACCTCGAGAAGGCTAAGCCGCTCTGCCTCGCCGCGCGCAAGGATGACGAAGCGTGGCGCTGGCATGAACGCTACGGCCACCTCCACTTCGACGTGCTCCACAAGCTCGCCAAGGACGACATGGTGCGCGGGCTGCCGGCAATCAAGCATGTCGGGCAGTTCTGCGACACCTGCGTCGTCACCAAGCAGAGGGCTCCGTTCCCGGCTGAAGCCCAGTACCGTGCGCAAGAGTTGCTCGAGCTTGTCCATGGCGATCTCTGCGGCCCCGTGATGACGGCGACTCCCGGCGGCAGACGCTACTTCCTGCTGCTGGTGGACGACGCCACACGGTACATGTGGGTGGCCCTCCTGACGACCAAGGACGCGGCTGCGATCGCCATCAAGCACCTCCAAGCTGTGGCCGAGAAGGGGAGCGGGCGCAAGCTCCGGGTGCTTAGCACCGACAACGGTCGGGAGTTCACCGCCGCGGAGTTCGTCGTCTATTGCGCGGATGAAGGCATCTAGCGCCACTACAGCGCCCCTTACACGCCGCAGCAGAATGGGGTCGTGGAAAGGAGGAACCAGACAGTGGTGGTCATGGCTCGTGCACTGCTAAAGCAGCGAGGTATGCCAGCCAGGTTCTGAGAGGCCGTGGTGACCGAGGTCCACTTGCTGAACCGGTCGCCCACGAAGAGCTTGTTGAGCAAGACTCCCTATGAAGCCTGGCATAAAAGAGCGCCGGCGGTTGGTGACCTGCACACATTCGGCTGCCTCGCCTTCACCAAGGAGCTGAACCAAGTGAAGAAGATGGATGATCGCAGCCAGCCTGGCGTCTTCATCGGATACGCCGACGGCGCCGAGACCCAGCGCTTGCAGGTGACCGCGACGTCGTCTTCGACGAGCCACGGCTAGGATTGGACCAAGGTGGGAGAAAGCTCGGCGTCGACGGTGGAAGAGTTCACCGTCGAGTACCTAAGGAGCGGAGGGGCAGGAGGAGCGCGAGGCGCATCTTCGTCGACATCCCCTGTTTCGGCCTCTGCTTCGCCGCGCTCAACATCACCGGCTCCGGGGAAGCCCGGGAACACGGTGGCGGCAGCTGGCACTCCTCCACCGGCCTCACCAATGGCGCCATCAGCCGCGACATCATCGTCTTCCCTTACTGCCACACCGCAGCCCGCTGATCAGCCCACCGTCGAGCTCGCCACGCCGCTGGAGGATGTCGAGGATCGTTTGGACGCGTTCTACGAAGACGAACCCCTCTGCTACTGCACGGTGACGAACATCATCGGCGATGAGTGTCCACCAGGGCTGGCGCCGCGTCTCTTCGCCCAGCTGCACTTGACTCAAGCCGGCAAGCCAACCAACTACGCTGAAGCACAAGGTGATCCAGCTTGGGACGCCGCCATGAAGCAGGAGCTCCAGGCTGTGGAGAAGAACAAGACCTGGGAGCTCGTTGATCTGCCTGCCGATCACCGCCCGATCACCCTCAAATGGGTCTTCAAGCTGAAGAAGGACGAGAAGGGGGTGGTGACCAAGCACAAGGCGCGGCTGGTGGCACGAGGTTTCGTCCAACAAGTGGGTGTCGACTACGACAATGCGTTCGCCCCCGTGGCACGCATGGAGTCGGTCCGCGTCTTCCTCGCGCTGGCGGCTCAAAAAGGATGGCGGGTGCACCACATGGACGTGAAGTCCGCGTTCCTCAACGGCGACCTCAAGGAAGAGGTGTACGTGCGTTAGCCGCCTGGCTTTGCCGTCGCCGGGAAGGAGGACAAGGTGTACCACCTGCGCAAAGCCCTTTATGGCCTACGGCAGGCACCGCGCGCCTGGAACGCAAAGTTGGACGCCACACTCAAGGAGATGGGCTTCCACCAGAGCGCGCATGAGGCGGCGGTGTACCGGCGGGGCAGTGGGCGCACTGTCCTACTCGTCGACATCTATGTCGACGACCTCATCATCACCGGCGCCGAGGAAGAAGTGAAGAAGTTCAAGGCGCAGATGAAGAACAAGTTCGACATGAGCGACCTCAGCCTCCTCTGCTTCTACCTCGGCGTCGAGGTGCGCCAGGATGCCAGTGGCATCACCCTCCGTCAGGCTCACTACGCCAAGCGGATCCTCGAGCTTGGTGAGATGGTTGGCTAAAACCCCGCCCACACGCCAATGGAGAAGCTGCGGCTCAGTCGAGAGAGCACTGCGGAGGTGGACTCCACGCACTACCGGCAACTTGTCGGCAGTCTCCGGTACCTGGTGCATACCCGACCGGACTTGGCGTTCGCAGTCGGGTACGTGAGCCGGTTCATGGAACGGCCCACGGTGGAGCATCTACAGGCGGTGAAGCGCGTTCTTCGCTACGTGGCCGGGACCCTGGACTACAATCTGCACTACAAGAGGGCTCCTGGCACGACGCGCTTCATTGGCTACTGCGACAGTGACCTTGCCGGCGACATCGACACAAACAAGAGCACCGGTGGAACCATGTTCTTCCTGGGTGACTGCTTGGTCAGCTGGCAGTCCATCAAGCAGAAGGTTGTGGCGATGTCAAGCTGCGAGGAAGAGTACATCGCCACCACCACTGCAGCAACACAAGCTCTATGGTTGT